GTTTTTTGCTTGTTAAGAAAAAAATGTTAGATACGCCGGGGGTATTCGACCCCATGACCTGAAGCCTCGACGGTTAACGTCAGCGCCTTAGACCACTGAGCCGTTCTGCCATTTTACTCGTTGTGCTTACAACACACATGGTCTTTCATCTCGACATATGTGATTGCTGGGTAAGACACCCTTCCAAAAAAAGTTAGGTTGTGTTAGCAGCCCCTAAGACACCCTCTCAAAAAATAGGTTCATGTTACACGTCCATAAGACAAGTTCGAACACGTTTATTTGCTTCAAAAATTAGGTTTAAGTTAGACGCTTAAAAGACACCCTTCAAAAAATAGGTTTATGTTACACACTCAAAAGATACTCTTCTAAAAAAGTTAGGTTTGGGTTACACACCTATAAGACACCCTTCTAAAAAATTAGGTTTGGGTTACACACCCATAAGATACCCTTCTAAAAAATTAGGTTTATGTTAGACACCCATAAGACACCCTTTTTTCACCCCTCGAGGGTAGGGGGATGCTCAAAAATGAAAATGGCGTCAGAAGGACACGTCCCCACCAAGATGGTGGACGGTGACAGGTCCCCTACTTTACTACTTTCAGGTCTGCGGGAAGGTGAGCATGAGAGGAGTTTGTAAAGGAAAGAATCCCAGTGCTTCTGAAGACGGAACCAACTGGGTTATATTTCAAGGCTGGTACGGGTATGTTGTTGCTAACAAAACTGCTTATTTTTTATTTATTTTATATCATGATTCTTTATTCTTCCAGCTTACAGAATATTTTTTTTTTCTTCATGTAAGCGACTGGACACGTTTGTCTTCAACAGCTGTTTGGGGCGTCACCCTTCACTGTCTCCTCTGTGGTTGTTCGCTTTTAACTAGCACTTTCAAGCCACTTCAGAAGTTTAAGATAAAGAAAGAGAAGGTGTGGCAAAGTTATTTTATACTTTTTGATGTCTAGTACAGGTTATCGTACCTCGTTTATATAATATGAAATTGAATTAACTTCTTCATCTCTGGTATTGCAGGGTTTTCATCAGAACTGTCAAGACCTTGACATTTTGTTCAAGTTTATTTTGTGTGGAATTATCTTATAGGCCATTAAAATATCATCTTGCTCTCTAACTTCAAAAAATTTTATCACTTATTTGCTTCCCTTTTGTCTTAAGAAATAAACTCAATGAGGAATGACATGAAAGTAAATGAGGGGAAAAAATATTTTTCTTTTTTATGCTTTCAGCAATTTTATAACATGACATCAACAAACAGAGTTCAACATCTATAGCAATGTTAAGAAAATGAAAATGCGAATGATTAGCCATTGAATTGAATGTGAACATACTACATACTCAATTACAGGGAAAAGTAATGTCAAATTGCATACAAGCAAAGCAGGTCTTGTACTAAGCTCAACATCTTAATTTCAATGTCAATAGAAAATAAAAATACTTGTTACATTAGCCGTAGCTGAACACAAACAAATTACAGGGGAAAATTAGTTAAAATTACATACTATAGCATACACAAAAGAAGTAAAATCAGTAAAAGTGCAGTAGACTAAGAAGACTGAAAGTTAAAGATTAAAATTTTAAAAAGTAAGCAGCATAAACACAATGCGAACTTGAAACCTTTTGAAGAATTGAACAAACACAATCAATCATCCCCATTATCCTGATGTAGCTCTCAAAAACTGCATGAAACCTAGTAGGAATGGTGTTTTTCTTGATCAATTCTTTTAAATCATTTGCCTTATTTTTCTGCAAGGGAAATCTCCCACTGTAAGCAAAAGGAAACTGGAAAGTTGCCATATCAGGCATTTGGCCTTGCTTCATGGTCACTTTTAAGGTGGAGCATTCATCACTGAAATTTTATCTATATGATAAGATGTTTGGATGGTCACGATGAGCTGATACTTCTCTCACCTGGCTCCAATAAATTTTGGTTTTTGATTGACCGCCCCTATTTTGTCGGTCAACCAGATAGTGAAGATCGAACCCTTCTTCATTCTTATTCAGAGTTGACACCAAATATGACCTTCCATTTTGCTTTGCATTTTTTATCAATGTGATCCATTCATTTGGTGTGAATACTTCTTGGACTCTTTTCGCCACATCTTCAATCCTGACATGTATGCTGTCGGCTTCTGTATAAGAATGACCAGACTCCAAGAATCGATGAGTGATATTTACATGTTATTTTGCACTTGCCCACAAATACAGTGAGAAAATCATTCTATTACGATTCTGGCCTGTAGGTGAATCAGAATGAAATGAAAATTCTTCAACTCCTGCAGAAATTTTCTTCTCAATAAACCGGAAAAGGTTTGTACCTAACTCATTAGGTCCTTTGTGTGCATCGCACTCAGTCCAAAGATAAAAATGTCCTTCTTTTTCTCTTGTGTCATACAATGGGAAATTGAACAGTGACAATTTGTTCTCTTGGACATATCAAAACCTTCTGCAGGTCAAAGCATGCAACACATTTTTTGTCAGTAGCAGACTTAACATCACTTTGTTTGAGAATTTTAACTTCTTTTTTGTTTTTTAGGTGAGTTGCATATGTTTGCACAATGTTTTCTCTTTCACTGTTTTTTCAAAGGTATTGATCATTGCCATTATTGGCAATGAAAACGCCCTCATTGCCACTGGGCTGGCAATGAAG